GTCAGAGTACTAGTTTTGGTCCTGTCACAAATACTCCAGCTACAGTAATTTACGAAAACTACCTTTCCCACAGAATATGACTGTGACTTATTCTTTGTCTTCAAGTATGTCAGTGAATTTATGGACCAGTTAAAAAAATCATTTCCTAGGAAGTATTTTCAGGCTTTTTTTTTTTTTTTTTTTTTTTAACAATTCCGTAAGCCATTTTTTCTGCGAAGAGGTTGCTTCCTTTGCCATTTACAGAGAAAAGGTTTTCCTGGTATCAACTAGCAGAAGGGACTTTCACATAACTTTAAGCAAGTAACTTTAGGATAGCTTTGAGATTAAAATTTACCCTGCAACTGGTGTTACTGTTTTATGTAGTCCAAAGAACATATGAAGAAAGGAGTACAACATCTCAAGTGTTGACCATGAAACTACAAAAAAGAAAGCTTACTGCATAATTACATTTACAGTTATGTACGCTACTGTTGGCTTTGGTGCATTTTTTAACAGATTTCATCCCATAAGGTATGGTAGAACTTTTGTCATTCACTCGTCACAATTTCTTTTGCTCTTCCAAGTACAGGATTCATGGAAAGTTAATGACATTATAAGAGATAGCTTTATTGCAAGCTTTATAACCTAAAAAATAAGAAAAGTGAACTCTCCTATTAATTACAGAAACTGCAGACTGTTCCAACTGCACTAATGCAATCCAAATATTTGGCATAAACGTAGGTGTTTTAACTCTGCTGTCTAGAGAAGCAAATCATAAATATTCATACATATGATGGCTACTCTTATAGGCGGGCTTCAGCTTTTCGTTTCAAGTAATTCTACTGCAAAATTCTTTTTCATTTCTTGTATGTTCTGAGCTAACAATTTTAACAAACATAAAATTGTATTATAATCCATCAAGTTGGAAGGACTTGTGGGGACCTACAAATTACTGTTACACAAAAATATTTGGGGGCAGCAGGGGAGAGATCACCCAATTTACATATTTTCTTACCAAAGAATGCAATTCCAGCAATAATTCTTTCATGTCTGCTACTGTGGATTCTTTGTATTAGACTAGTCCTTCTTCTTATCCTCAAATACATATAAATGTTGTGCTCACATGAAGGCCTTCAGTAGACCTTTTAAGCAAGATAAACAGACAAACTACATTTCAGTCTGACCTGACATTCTCATGCATTCCATATTTATTTTCTTATTTGTAACAAAGGTTCAATGGAATTTCTTCAAACTTTATAACAACACTAAACTTCAAATGAACTAATCTCTGAAAGACAGACACATAGGTCCCAGCTTTCAAGAAGTATCACAGGCTATTTAAAACTTTCAGAAGTTTTGTTCACTTGGTTTGGCAGAGGTGGAGAAGGGGTGTTAAGTGTACAAAAATGTTCATTACTTCAGAGGTAAAATTTCTCCTGGAGCAGAGCAAGTTGCCAATTAGTGAATAAAACATTATCTTTCAGTAGCTCTTAAGTAAACATATCTCCTATTAATTTCCTTGTTACTTTACCCTATCAGCAATGTTTAGCTCCTACCTATATTGCCAGTATCTACTAGAATAATAAATAAAGCCTGGGAAAGTTAGCAAGACAACAAATGTGGGCTTTATACATAGTAACTCATAAATCCAAAGAACATTTCTATTAGATTAATTATTTTCTAGTGTCTGAACAACATGTGCCATTGTCATAAACTCTAAGTACAGCTTGCTAGAAAACAACCCTGCTAGGTACAGTGGCTTCCCAGTAACAGAACAGAAAATATGTTTGCAAGTTCTAACACAATGCTAGATGGCAATTGTAGTTGGGTGGCAAATGTTGGCAAACATTTTTTTTTAAATGTTTGTTGTGTTCCCTGGCTAGCCTACAACTGCTAAAATTCACCAGCCCCATCCTACCAAACCATCACTTTGGCTGATCATAAGAATCCCAGGCTGAGGCTAATCTTGTGAGACACACTTTAGCTCAAGAGCTCAAAATCAAGAGTGATGCACAAAGCCTTCTGGTAACCATAAGGAAAATTCTTATTGAAGCATGGAAGTCGCACTTCGCACTTTTGGAGGGAGTTGGAGATTTTTCTATAGTGGTTAAGATTTTACATTTAACATAGATGGGGAAAAACTTGGTTTGTCAAAAAACCACAGAGCTCTGCTGGGAAAAAGCTGCTCGTAAAATAAAAATGAGTGTGCGTTTATTATGTGAGTATGCCTGCTTTGATGCATTCCCAAATCTATCATTATCCTTGAGCTGCGGGGTTAAATGTGAAGTAAAAGAGAAAGCAAGGAAAAACAGCTGTCTGAACATGCTCAAGAAATCCTGTATGCCCAGCTTATGCTTAACCCTCCTAAGTTAAAGCATATTACTGACACTTGAGTTCCTATAGCCATTAGATCTTCCCTTTTTAAAACTTAAAATATTATATGTGAAATAAATGTGATCTAGACTAAAAAGAATTGCTGACACATGCACTCAAGAACAAAAATGTAAAAAATTCACAAAACCCTAACAGTTAAGAAAATGTGGAAGTACATCTACTGAAAGCATACATTCAAAAATACAGACCTTCCTAATAAGGACAGCAAATCTCAGCTCCCACATGCCACTTAAGCAATATAATTTAAAAATAAAATCACTTTAAAAAAGAGAAGAATATATAAAACATATGTTATATGTACAGGTTGAGGAATTAACAAAAAATTAAACAATTAAAACTAAGATACTTTTGCATTTGATGCAGTTATCTACTAAGCTATTAAATACTGGAGTGCTGGTTTTGGCTAAGGTAGAGTTCATTTACTTCGCAGTGGCTGGTATGGGGCTTTATTTTGGATTTGTGCCGAGCATATGGTTGATAATTTAGTGATATTTTTGTTATTGCTGAGCAGGACTTCTGCATGTCCAGAAAAGCCAAAGCCTTTTCTGCTTTCCATACTGCCATGCTGGCAATGAATGTGGGGGTGGTTGGGAGGCTGGGAGGAGACCCAGCCAGGAAAGGTGAAGTGACCCCAACTCACCAGAGGGATATTCCAGACCACACGACATCATGGTCAGTAAATAAAGCAGAGGGAGGAATGAGGAAGGGGGGGACATTTGGAGTGATGGTGTTTGTATTCCCAGCTTGTTACATGTGATGGGCTCTGCTCTCCTGGGGATGGCAGAACATCAGGCTGCCCATGGGAAGCACTGAATTAATTTCTTGCTTTCTTTTGCTTTTCCTATTAAACTGTCTTTATCTCACCTGTGAGTTTTCCAGCTTTTACTCTAAATACTCTCCCCAGTGCTGCTGGTGGCGGAGTGAGCAAGCGGCTGCACAGGGCTTGGCCACTGGCTGAAGTTAAACCAGGACAACTGGATAGAGGAAAATATAGTATGCCTCTTCCGAGAAATGACAACACTTACAGTGGTCACAGCAGCAAGGTCTGAGAAACTGCTGAGCTAGCCCTCCCCCTCAAGAGGCAAAGACAAGAACCCCCAAGCTGAGCTGGGAGTGTTCAACAGCAGCAAGGGGATTTGCTAACATTCCCTGGGAGGCTCAGGTACCTGCCACCTTACAATTCACTCCTGCACAAGAGGACGGGATTCCTTCTGCCCCAGTCACCAAACCTGATACTTCCTTATATCTGCTAATGCTGTAACTCTGTTTATGCCATATCATGGGGTCATCCTGTCACTAAAGAGTCCAGAAACTGATATGAAAAAGTAGCACTAAGATTATCTACAGGAAATAATAAAACAAAATTTTAAGCTGATGAAAGTCAAAGAAAATTTCAAATAAGCCAGCTCTCTAACTCCATTCAAGTAGGGACTGAAACAAGGACAAGAGGGTGGGAGCGTGCATATGTAGTGTTTTCAGTTATCCCTATAGATAAGATCCTCAAGGAGAAAAGAAACAAAGAGAGAAATCAATCAAATAAATAAGGTCATTCTAACTATATATGTTACACAGACAACTTTCAAGATTAAAGGTCTTTTCTTCTCTGCCTCTCTCCAGTTTGATGCAGTCTAAATGGTCAGCGGTTGTACCAAGATTTTCCAACTACCTTGTAAGCAATGCAGTTCACATGTTCTCCCAGCATTACACCACAACAGTTGAGTGCACAAGCCAAATAAGTGCTCCTACAGGCTACAAGTACAATTAAGGGACCCCTTTAAAAAGTATGTCCCTTAACACAATGACATGTGAGACAATTTGAACAATTAATGTGGTAATAAAAAGCAGAAAAGACAAGATTATCATATTAGATGCCATGGGAGTATGAAAGGTGAAAATAATCCAATTCTACACATAAAGCAAAACCAAAAAAATTATCTGGGACTTCATCCAGAACATGCCATAACAGATTAATTCCTTATTAAAGTATTTCCTTTAATATCTTGTCTTAGATTTGACAAGTTTCTGAGTAAGCCTGCCTAGGTTTTCAACTGGGGACAAAGTTTCACTAAAGCTCCAGTCACAAAAATAAGATCAGACAACCAAGATAATACTAATTCATCATAGCCAAGGGTCATCATCAGTCTGGCATGGCCCTACACTTCAACCCTGAGCTGGTGTTGTGCTGGACATCATGACTGCTGTTAGAATACTGACTTTTAGTACATATCCCACCTAAGCCTCTGTCCTCTGAGGCCAAGCTTTGGCAAGATCATCCTGACATCCTGACTTCATTCACATATCTTTCAGGAAATATTGACAGCACTTACTGCAGACCAGTTCATTGGAACAGCCTGCATTTATCCTGATCACATCATAGTCCTTGTATAGTATAACACTTGTGAAACTGAAGTCAATTTAAGATAGTAGGTCAGAAGCTCAAAGCTGTATTTTCAGACCAAGCAAGAAAATTTTGTAAAGGAACAAGAAAGAAATGTTGAGTTTGTCAAACAGTGTCTCACAACATCAGAAGCAACAGAAGGTAAATTTAGACGGTATCTATAAAACATGGTGGCAGGGGGAGGGTAGGGAGAGGGAAGACAATGAAATTATGGCTAAAATGCACTTACTTGATTTTACTGAAGACGATGTCAACATCTGTGGTTGTCACATTCTTCCCATCTATGATATTGCAGTCCTTACATAGCTTTGACCAGTTCTTCCCATGCATTTCTTTTCCTGTGGCTCTCGTATCACCATGGACGGCAAATTTTCTAAAGGCCTCTTCCAGAGCACTTATTTCTCCTGCCGTAGCTCCCTCATGGGAGTTTGATTCTGAGGATAACCGTTTTGCTGGTTTTGCTGATTTTTCAGCCATTGTGCTACAAAGAAAAGGAGGGTAAACTTATCGCATTAATTTGCACTAGATTACTTTCTGTCAATCTACATGCTAGAGTTCATGTCACAACATATGAAGTCCATATGAAGAATAAATGGTCTATAAAGTTAGAAAGAACTCACTACCCTCCACCGTCAAAAATCAGTCTAAACAGAGAACTATGTAACTCTCTGCCCATCTGGGAAAAAAATTCTAGCACATTAGAAAAAAAAAAGCTATAGCAAGAAACTAGGAACACAAAACTAGTTTCACCATCATTACACCAGCCATCAAAAGAACACTTAATATTTGCTCCTTTTTTTTTTCTTAAATGGCAACCATCACAGTCACTCTGTTGATTTGAATAGAAGTATGCCCTTTACACTGTAGGCATTACTATGTATTTGTATTTCTGAAGGAAAAATAAACATCCCTTTATTTTCTGGACTTCAACTTATAAATTTTTTTTTCTGAAAAATTAAGTATTTTTGAAACAACAAAAATATTAATGTTAGAACCCTTATGTTGCATTATGTAAGGGCTAACAAGTACAAGACAAGTCTCTCTTCTTATCCAGACCATTTATTTCTCAAGTTTATGCCCAAAGAACTGCAACTGTGGAATTCACTTGGAATGGACACATCCATGATGGAGGCATACTGAGAAGGTATGTCATTACTGCAGACAAGAAATTTCAGACTACTCCAAATACATATAGTATAGGTTTGCCTTTTCAATGAAACCTTAAACTATGCAACAGAATACTATTTTCAGGTGTCTTCACAAAAAAAAACCCACACTCAAGTGCCAGAAGCACGTCATAGAAACCTCTGTCTTCTGCCCATACACTCTTGGCATGGCAGAAGTAAGACACAAAAAAGCCTAGGGACTAAAAAGCCTAGGCACAGGGCACACTGCCATCCTGCCCCAACAAGCTGCACCCAGACTGTCACCACCATGACATCGATGGCGCTGTTACAGATTTTTAACCCATAAAGAGATGGTTAAAGTACCAGAAATCTGGCAAATGCTAGACAAGGGCTGGAAAGCCCATCATACTTAACCAGCCTTTCTTCTAAAGCCCCAGCTGTGTGTGGGATGTGATTAACATATGCAGAGATGGGTAGGTATTTCTAGTTAAGGTTTTATTTCCTCACCAGATAGGAAGTTCTTTTAGTTTCTATACTGTACAACAGTGCGCCTCAGCAAGGGAAAGGGTTCTAAAATTCTATCTCTTCCTATACTGTTTAAACTCTGACACACAAACAAACATGACATACCCCTCCCTGCACAACGTAACAGAACTAACCATAGCTACTTGCTACGCAGCAGTTATTGTTGAGGTTTTTGATTAGAAAGAATCTTTTAATTAAAAACTTACTAGAAGGACCTCTGTCCTTCACACTTGAGCAAACACAGCATGGTCAAAGCACTACTGCCTTTTTTGAAAACATGTAAATGCTTAAATCCCTTGTTATATCTTAAGCCAGGGGATCCTTCTGTTCTGTTTACACAGTCAGCACAGGTTTTGGCCAACAAACCAAAATGCTAAACTAAAATTATTACAACAGAAATTTACTAACTGTAGCCTGAGAATTGTACGTGCACCAATGAAATAAAAAGTGAAGCACAGAGGGGGGAAAAAGAGTTTGAAAATGTCAAGTTCATTAAAAAGTTTAAAAAGTAACCAATTCCCACTTCTATTTCCTTTGCATTCTGATTACTGTCCAAAGAGGAATTTTACCTCAAAAACCTTATCTGAAAGCATCCCAACACTGAAACAAAAAAACAAAAAAATGCGCAGTAAATTAAATTCTACTGCAAACATTAAGGCACACATATTTTCACCAAAATGTGTCTAGATAAAATCTTCTGTTTCATCACACTACATTCTTTTGCCACCAAAACAGTAGTAAAAGAACATAAGAAAAAACCAAAAAAAACCCCTATTGACATAACATATACAACATAGTATTTAATTAAAAATCAGATCATGAAGATCTATGATGTACCTCTACATTCAAGGAAGCTTGACTTCCAAAAGCAGAAGTCTCTTCCAAGCTTGTAGCATTTCAAATCAACTGGAGCTGAAATAGAGAGCCAGAAATTTTCCAAGCTAACATTAACTGGCTAGAGAAAGAGAGTACAGATCAGCAAAAAACCAAGTCTGTGTAGGATATTAAAAACCAAAGTTACCTTTGTATGCAAGAAACAGGACAGGAAAAGGTGAAACTTTTCAATGGTAAGGTATGTATGATTTGCATCAGTTTGTAATTCTATCTTGTGGCAAATAAACTTTCCAAAACATTTTCAGGGATAGCTCCTGCTTGCTCTTAGCAATTCTCTTAAGAAGCTATACTCAGAGTGAGTATCTTTAAAATATACAACAATAGCACAGTTTACAAGCTATAAACAAGAAAATATCTGTGCCATTCTGTCTCATCTGAAATTGGAAAGTATAACCACGTGCCTACATTTTTAAGTATCTCCTGAACAAAATCTTTCCTTAACCAGTGTCAGTGCCTTGCTGGCCAATTGCTTAGTGATTTGTTGTGTATAACCGTAAGTCAACTTTGCACAGCACAGCAGAATCATGTTTTACTATCTTATACAGTCTTTAATATGATAGTTGCATCAACTGAAAGAATTTTTTACTTACTCTCAGTAGCTAATAAATTTAAACTTTATAAACTTGCTATAGGAAAAATGCTCAGGAACATATTTGGCCTTCAGAAATATAGTTTCATACTAACTTCTCTCACTCATTAATAAATTAACGTTGTATTCGGGTTTTTTGAGTAGTTCTGGATCAGGCAGAACAGACACACTACAGAAAAGGCTTTAGTTTTGAATGGTGAAATCTGGTATGCAAAACAGACTCATTTCAAATAAATCCTTGCCATCTAAAGCAGAAAGTCAAGGAGAGATTAAAACCAGGGCTCTGCAGTGGTTGCCAAATATTATTATGGACAATCCTTGTTGAATCATAATTACAGTTTACTTGTTAAAATCCTATGTAAGAGCATGAAATATATTAAAAAGAAGCTACCTGGATTTATGAAAAAATTATCAAGTCTCAATTTAAACTTTTCTTTCTTAACACTACAAACAACACAGTGTGAAGAGAACTATATTTGTTAACATACTATAATTAGAAGGTAAAGAACTGCACAACATAGGATATGAAATTAGACTTTGAATGGGGCCAGCTCCTTTAACTTTTTTTAGTGTTTAGAGATAAGGAAGGAGATCATGTCATGTTGAAGAAATGATCTCTCAAACAGAAATAAAGAATATGCTATTTGACAAAAATCCAACACCAAATGCTGTTCTGAGTCTTCCTTACCCTTTTTCCCTGGAAAAAGGAATCAAAGGGTGCTTGGTACATTCTGCTAGTAAAGATTATGAGTAATTTGGGGCAGGGCCACAGTAGGAAGATAAGCGAAAGACAAAAGAAAGTGATTACTCTAGAATACCAACTATAAAATACAGTAAAACAAAATTAAGCCACTGTTGAAAAGCATGAGCTGTGTAGATGCCGACTACAACAACTACAGCTAACCCAAGAAATGCCTTTCATCACCATCCAAAAAGTCTAATATGTATACAATTAGACAATGCCAATTTCCAGAGTCAGCAGAAAGAAGGTGGGACTAGCCACCAATACAATCCTCTCCAAATACTGCATGCTCCAAGCAAGCAGGTCCACATCACCAAAAGCAGCCAGATAAGAAAGAGGTACAAGCAGATGCTAGAGTTTAGGAGGTTTGCAAAAGTGTTGTATTGTGTTTTGTTATGCTGTATGCTGATTTGGTTTGTTCCTTGTACCCCTCTGTTGTAATGGTTCTGCCCTGGCTCTCTCTCCTTGATCGCCCTGTCTGTCACCTCTCCCCTCCCTGTTACCCATAGCAACCATTGTATCCATTCCCTCAGTCCCTCCCTGGTTCCCTGTCTGTCACTCGGTGCCCCAGCCCTTCTGTCTAGAATCTTCCATCCTGGGCGTCGAGTGATTGGATCAGGGGCCAGGACTCCACCCCTGCTCTTCCCTCATTGGTTTTCCCTATATGTCCGTTATCCTACCATCACACCCACCTTTTTTCTGATTTGCTGGAGACCACCTTTCCTCTATGTATCCGCCCCTACTTTAAAAACCCAGGTCGGAGCCCAGTTGGCTTTGTCTCCAGCTGGTAGCCCCCCTGGACATTAAATCCGGATTGCACTACCTCTGGAGTCCGTCTCTTCTTTGCCTCCTGTGGGTTAGCAGCCCTAGCCCTCTCTCTCAGCCGCGGATCCTCGTCCCTCAAGGCGAAAGCCTTAGGCGCTCCCCTGACCGAGCCCCGGATCGGGAGACTGCCCCCGTGCTGCCGGCGGTGCTGGCCGCAGCTAGCCGGGACACACCTTAAGGTCAGCCGCCGCCGCTGCACAAAAGAACAACTATTCTCCAAAACAATGGAGTTTCAGAAACCCACAGAATACTTAGACAGTTAGGTGCTGTGTTATGAACTGCTATAGCCTGTGTCCTGTAGTAACATGAAAAAAACAGTTCTTCTCCCTTCTCTCACTCTGCAATTGGTAAATAATACAGCACATTACACAGAGATTGAGCCAGATGTAGCCATGATATTATGGAAAATCCTTTGCTGGGATTTTTCCTCTCCTGAGAAGCTGAGGAGCTTCAGGAGAGAAATGCAAACAATTACTATCTGCTGCTGTGGAATGCAACAGGTGCATCTGTGATTGGTCCATGTGGATTGTTTTCCATTGATGACCAATCACGGCCACCTGTGCCAAGCCTGTGAGCAGTCACAGGATTTTGTTATTCTATTCTGTTCTATTCTTGTTCTTCTGATCTCTCTATTCTTTAGTATAGTCTTAATGTAGCATTTTAATATAATATTTAACATAATAAATCAGCCTTCTGAAATGGAGTCAAGCCTCGTGTCTCCACACACGGAGAGTTCGTCACAACAGCCAGAGATCAAACTAACTCATGTTAACTGATGC